TAACAAAAACACACTAACTGCACTAACAGAAAATGTATAAAAACTTACTATTATTTACCAAGGATTTTTTTTACATGTACCATAAATATAGTAACAGCTCATTACCATATTGTATAGGAAAGTACCATAGTATTACCATTACTGTACTATGGTACTGTTAAACAATTTTATTGTGGACACAATCCCTTACAAAGAAAATACAGTAGCAATACCATGGTGCAGTAATACTATAGCCTACTACTGCTTTCAAAATACTTTTTTTTACAATGTAAACACAAACATTACATTATATAATTACATTGTTAATTATTAACTATCCATGCATATATAATATAACAGCTAGAAACTCACAGAATCAGGGGACTCTCTCCTGTATACCGTCGCTGAGATCTTTCCCAGTCACTTCTGACTCATGTGCGGTGTGACCCCCGGGCCCCTGCGTCACCGTCCCGCACGAGGGAGACGCGTAAATCACCCGCCGTGCGCACCTGCTGACAGAGAGCTGCTCCAATCGCTCTCTGGGAGCTGTTTGTTAACACACAAATATGTAACTTTCTAAAGATGGTATGCGTCTTTATTCATTTGTCTGCCATTTGTACTGACTGTGCAAGGCCTCCGGTGCTCCAGTTACTTTTCATGTGCAACAGCAGCTACTTTATATTATAAACTGGCATTTTATGATCATATTATTTGAATCTATTATCATTATCATAAACACACCGGTTTTCAGCTCAAACAGTTTTACCCTTTACTGCACTTTGATGCTTATCTTCTAGCTATTTACTTCCAATGAGTCGAAAGTCTCGCACACACAAAGAAAATAGTTTGCTTCTGCGTTACAAAAGAAGATGGATAGCCTACAACTTAAAACTAATAAACACAAAGAATCCAATAAATAGAGTTTGTATTAATAGACATTAAGAATTTAATCTTTGATCAAAATGTTTTTAAAGTTAACTTATGACAGACATAGTGTGTCCTGAAATCACCTAGCATTCACTGTGGAAAGCAGTCACAAGGAAAACATCGACATAACATCAAAACATGCAAAAGAATGTGCTAATGAAAATCTAAAGGGCTTTAAAGGGGTCTAGTTGAAGCGAAGGGGCTGTTTGTGATTTCGCTGCCTCTTTACTCTGTTTGGTGTTAAATGTGTGTCTTTGATGATGTGTTTGCCCATCATTTAGCGGGCTTCCTAGCTCCAGGACGCTGCAAAGAGCCCCTATTTCAATAATTTAGGTAGCTCAATTTGCACTTATTAGATATATTTGCTGGTGTTTAAATAAACAGAAACGAAAGCTCACAGCGGCAGTTCAGTAAGTGCCCAGCAGGTGGAGGTGTTGACCAGCGCGGAACGTGCGCAAATAGAGCGAGTTTGATGCGGTTTGATGCAAATCACATGAAATCGTGCTTCAGAATAACTGTAAACACTGAAATACGTGGCGGCCACCAACTTTTTAACGCTCTGTCTGTCTGCGTGTGTGTGTGTGTGTGTGTGCGTGCGTGCGTATGTGTGTGTGTGTGTGTGTGTGTTAAGAGTGTGACCTGGGATTCTGTCTGTCTGTCTGTCTGTCTGTCTCTCTCTCTCTCTCTCTCTCTGTGTGTGTGTGTGTGTTAAGAGTGTGATCTGGGACTCTGTCTGTCTGTCTCTCTCGCTCTCTCTGTGTGTGTGTGTGTGTGTGTTAGAGTGTGATCTGCTCTGTTGTCTGCCGTATGCATGCATCAGAGTGTGATCTGGGACTCTGTCTGTCTGTCTCTCTCGCTCTCTCTGTGTGTGTGTGTGTGTGTGTTAGAGTGTGATCTGCTCTGTTGTCTGCCGTATGCATGCATCAGAGTGTGATCTGGGACTCTGTCTGTCTGTCTCTCTCGCTCTCTCTGTGTGTGTGTGTGTGTGTGTTAGAGTGTGATCTGCTCTGTTGTCTGCCGTATGCATGCATCAGAGTGTGATCTGGGACTCTGTCTGTCTGTCTCTCTCGCTCTCTCTGTGTGTGTGTGTGTGTGTGTTAGAGTGTGATCTGCTCTGTTGTCTGCCGTATGCATGCATCAGAGTGTGATCTGGGACTCTGTCTGTCTGTCTCTCTCGCTCTCTCTGTGTGTGTGTGTGTGTGTGTTAGAGTGTGATCTGCTCTGTTGTCTGCCGTATGCATGCATCAGAGTGTGATCTGGGACTCTGTCTGTCTGTCTCTCTCGCTCTCTCTGTGTGTGTGTGTGTGTGTGTTAGAGTGTGATCTGCTCTGTTGTCTGCCGTATGCATGCATCAGAGTGTGATCTGGGACTCTGTCTGTCTGTCTCTCTCGCTCTCTCTGTGTGTGTGTGTGTGTGTGTTAGAGTGTGATCTGCTCTGTTGTCTGCCGTATGCATGCATCAGAGTGTGATCTGGGACTCTGTCTGTCTGTCTCTCTCGCTCTCTCTGTGTGTGTGTGTGTGTGTGTTAGAGTGTGATCTGCTCTGTTGTCTGCCGTATGCATGCATCAGAGTGTGATCTGGGACTCTGTCTGTCTGTCTCTCTCGCTCTCTCTGTGTGTGTGTGTGTGTGTGTTAGAGTGTGATCTGCTCTGTTGTCTGCCGTATGCATGCATCAGAGTGTGATCTGGGACTCTGTCTGTCTGTCTCTCTCGCTCTCTCTGTGTGTGTGTGTGTGTGTGTTAGAGTGTGATCTGCTCTGTTGTCTGCCGTATGCATGCATCAGAGTGTGATCTGGGACTCTGTCTGTCTGTCTCTCTCGCTCTCTCTGTGTGTGTGTGTGTGTGTGTTAGAGTGTGATCTGCTCTGTTGTCTGCCGTATGCATGCATCAGAGTGTGATCTGGGACTCTGTCTGTCTGTCTCTCTCGCTCTCTCTGTGTGTGTGTGTGTGTGTGTTAGAGTGTGATCTGCTCTGTTGTCTGCCGTATGCATGCATCAGAGTGTGATCTGGGACTCTGTCTGTCTGTCTCTCTCGCTCTCTCTGTGTGTGTGTGTGTGTGTGTTAGAGTGTGATCTGCTCTGTTGTCTGCCGTATGCATGCATCAGAGTGTGATCTGGGACTCTGTCTGTCTGTCTCTCTCGCTCTCTCTGTGTGTGTGTGTGTGTGTGTTAGAGTGTGATCTGCTCTGTTGTCTGCCGTATGCATGCATCAGAGTGTGATCTGGGACCCTGTCTGTCTGTCCGTGTGTGTGTGTGTGTGTGTGTGTGTGTGTGTGTTAGAGTGTGATCTGCTCTGTTGTCTGCCGTATGCATGCATCAGAGTGTGATCTGGGACCCTGTCTGTCTGTCCGTGTGTGTGTGTGTGTGTGTGTCTGTCCGTGTCTGTGTGTGTGTTAGAGTGTGATTTGCTCTGTTGTCTGCAGTATGCATGCATCAGAGTGTGATCTGGGACCCTGTCTGTCTGTCCGTGTGTGTGTGTGTTAGAGTGTGATCTGCTCTGTTGTCTGCAGTATGCATGCATGCATCAGTGAGTTTCAGGCTCTTTGTTGGCTGGATGGAGGCGGGGCGCTGCGCGGCCGCAGGTCCTTTTGTGCCCCTCACATTTTGGCCAAAATCAGAACCACCGAGCTTGCAGACGCGCCAAAAGCACGAAACCGGACTATACAAAAAGAAAAACTTAACAAACAGCGATGTGATTCTAACACAGGGTTTTGTTTAAGGAGCTTTGTGAAATTGTAGGTGAGTCATGAACGCCTGGTTGGGCCAGGAGAAAAACTTTCTATTTTATGATTATTATCATTATTTGTTGAGGATATTTAGTTAAGTGACTTAATCTTAAACAACTTTATTTTCTTTATAGACGCTATCGTTTGTGTTGTGCAGTTTTGTCTGCTGGACTATTGGCTGGTCAACAGATTAGCCCGTTACTAAGCAACCGGTTGTCTAGCTTCTCCGCGAGCAGACGTTCGTCAGGGATACTTGGAACGAGCCTCTACGATTTCACGTTTTTAAACTTCATAAACAAAAGAAAACATAAGTTAAACGTGAAATATTTGTCTGTCAATATTATTATATCAAAACGAATAATCGTAATGCCATTGATGCCCGAATTGCATCATAACTTGCGCAAACTGAACATTAAACTCACTTAAATAAATGTAATATAACTTTTCCCACACACTATAGACTTAGTCATATTTACACAAGATGTATTGTGATAGTTTTGTTGCATTAAAGGTTTTAACATGCTGATATGAGTTAATAAGAACATTATTGACTGATTGTCTTTTTAAGTCAAAAAAAGTTGGTGGGAAAGTACTTCATATTCATAATGTCTTACAAGATGCAAACAGTGTTTGGCTTTAGTGGCCTCATGGGCTCCAAAACCGAATTGCCTCATTGGCCCTCACTACTAAATTAAAAACATTTACCTTTTTTTCTTAGTTAAATATAGTTAAATAAGTTAAATATAACTTTTTTCAGTGTTTCAAATTCAATACATTACAACTTATTATAGAAAAACAATGTGTATGTGTTGTAGCTCTTTGAAGAAGTCTTTAGGAGAGTGTTTGTAGTCCTGCGGTCTGGCAGGTGTGGGATGTTGTGCACTGTTGTTCAATCTCCCGCCAATATTGCACTCGTCCCGGCCTCCCTGACCACGAGGAACACGCGACTCCTCGCTGCAATCTCCCGCCACTACAGCAGCTTATGAAGAGCTCGACCACTAGGGCGGCGCCAGACTGCAGGTGTATATTCAACACCAGTGTGAGTATACGGCAGTTACTAGCTTACTACTTACTGAATATTGTGCAGTATGCATCGTATACTGTGTACTTTTTTTACATTGCATACAGTCTACAATGTATACTGCACAATTAGAAAAATGTAATATATAATTCAGGTGTTCATTAAATTTATGCATACAGAAAATTCACAAACTGTGTTTGAGAGTATACAAGCATGCTACTCCAAACATAGCATACAGTAGATTGTATTTGAATATTAATATATTAAAATATAATGTTTAATATAACTTTATTTTAACTAATGTTAAATTCATATATTTCTATACGTATGCTTGAGCTTAGCTCTCATTCATCATTAACGGCATACAGAACAGGAGAATTCTGGGGTTGACATATTAAACTGTCAATTTGGGTATTTTTAGAATTGATTTCTGTTTTTGTAATGTATTAATAATGATTATAGAACCATGGTACTGTTGGGTATTTGTTGTGTTCTAGAAAATACATCAAATCCCTTTATTTCAAGACATTTGTTAATGTAAACACACGCTACAGGACTCTCGCAAAAATACACTCATACTCACACATTATACGGCCCCGCGATGACACATAAACACACAAAACGTCAAATAAAAGTCTTTCTCCTTTCATTCAGTCTCCTCATCCGGAGTGACACAGACGCTGGATAAATCTCACATCTGTCCTGGTTGTTTGGCCCCTCGACACAGGAGTTCAGTGGCGCCACACTGGGTTTCAGAGGGTCTAGAGCGAGACAGAGGGCGTCTCACTCCCCTCACACCTTTATGTGCATTAGAACCTGTTTACGGTGTGTACTGAAGTCCTGTGGAACAGTATCTGGAAAATATATGTTTCATTTGCATTGTGAGTGTTTTGCTTTTAGTGTTGTAATGCAGTTTTTTTGGTCAATAAACAACTTTTATTCAGAATTTGTAGATTTCTTGAAGACTTTGAGTGTTGGATTTGGGGGTCTGGGGATCATGATTTAAATATCAAAGAGTGGATTCATCTTTACCGTTACAGCGGTAGCGCAGATTGGACCAAATGATGTTCTCTTGAGAGAAGCAGAACACGCCCAGGCGTCCCCCTCTCATAGTGGTGTCAATCACAACATTGGAGTCAGCCACCATCTCTGTGCCTTCATACAGCTTCACCCTGCAACAGGAGCACAACATGAACACACATGAAAGCCCTCTTATGCGTGACTGTACAATATTTTTAGATCAAATAAATGCAGCCTTGGTGAGCAGAAAAGATATTTCAAAAACAAAAAAAATCTTTGTCAAATCTCTGTATGGTAATGTATATAAAAAATATATTAATGTAATTATTAAAATGTAGAAAATATAAAAAAAAGATCATCTTCTACCAAGTGAAAAATAAATGTGCACCAAAGTACTTTAGAGTCTTGTTGGACACAACCAAAATGGGAAACATATTCTCACTTAAAACCCTCTTTATTTTGCCATCATAAATGCACACTTATAAGGTTTGTTGATTTTAATTATTCGCATTTAGCAATGCTGACCCAATTTTGGGTCACAACCCAGCAGTTGAGAAGCGTTGTTCTAGAATATTCTGGTCTGAATGAAGCCGAGAGCTGTTTTATGCTACAGGCTGCTAAACTTCACCTGCTCACCCTCTAATTACCTGATAATAAATGAGATCTGATTTGATTTAGCAGCAGGCCCGACTTAAATTGCATTATGTATGAGTGGAGCATGTCTGCAGCACAATCCAGTGTGAGTGTGTGTGCGTACTGTGCTCTATTCACTCCTCTCACTGAATACAAAGCAGGTGTGTTTATGTGTGTGTGTGTTTGAAAGGGCCCTTACAAAGCCTCGGCAACACATTGTCTCACAAAACTGCATATACGTGTACGTACACACAACACATACACATATTGAGCGCCACACAGCTCTCTCTCTTCCTGTAGGTATTTATAACTACTTGAAACTTTGGAAAGTTCTGATCTGAAGTGTTAAATATTCATGTAGTTTGAAAGCTTCAGAACTGCTTAACCATCAAATGAGAAGTTACTATAGTCAATTTCTGTTATGACAATTTTTTAAAAAACTAATTTTTGAGCATTTGCTGGAGTTGGTTCTTTGGCAAAGAGCATCTGATTTACAACACAATGCCAAGAAATTACGCAGTACAGGAAATCATACACAATACATGTTTAACTGTCCTCTGTGGTCCGTTCTCTCTCTTCTTTAACGGCCCGTCCACTACAGTAGTTTCCGTTGGATCTGCATATGAACAGGCACCAAGAAAATTCTTGCCAAGGATTTCATTGGCATGGCAACCACAACAAAGGGCGGCCAGGGGGCCCAACCACTCAGCAGAGTCTCAGGGGTGTGAGGGGGGCAAGAGGAGGGGGGGCAACTGAGAAGAAATTTTAAGGATAACTTGTCATACGCCCCCACCACCCTCTCTCCAGCATACCAGCACAAACTTCCATCAGCTGCCAGTGCAGTCAATGACCAAGTCTGGTATTGCACCCTCTTGTGACGACAAAAGTGACCCACAATCGTACAGACAAAAAAGTTGTTTCAGCAGGGACTAACAACTTATTACTTTTACTAAAGGAATACACCAGTTTAAATATAATTTAAAATGGACAACAGTAAAATTTTTGGCTTGCAGTCAATTAAGATATTTAAAAAAAAAAAAAGTGTAAAAAAAAATATATATATATTTTTTTATGTTTTTGACAGAAGTGTCTTATGCTCACCAAGGCTGCATTTATTTGATTAAAAATACAGTAAAAACAGCAATATTTATTTTAGTATCACTGAGATACTAAATATTTTGCATTGAGTATATTTTTATATTTTCTGTTTTCATTTCAAATTTTTTGTAATTTTGTTTTTGTCTATTTTATTAGTTTTTTTCAATTATGTCTATAATGTTTTTATTCATTTTGATTTCAGTTGTACTTTAGTACATCAAGTTAAACTAAATGAAAATCAAAAACATTTTATTGGCAATTTTCTTCAAATTTATTTTTATTTTGAGTTTATTTTATTTCAAGTAACAATTTTTTTATGATTTTAGTTCACTTATATTAACCCTGATTACAACTTAAAACAACTCATTACTCCAGTCTTCATTCTCACATGATCCTTCAGAAATTATTCTAATATGCTGATTTGGTAATCAAGAAACATTTCTCATTATTATCAATTTTGACAGCAGTTGACCCACGAGAAACCTTGATTCTTTTTTTTTAATTCTTTTGATAAATAGAAATTTTAAAAAAATTGAAATAGAAATAATTTGTTACATTATAAATATCTTTATTGTCACTTGTGATCAATTAAATGCATCCTTGCTGAATATAAGCATTCATTTTTTAAATTTTAAATTTAACTGACCCCAAACTTTTGAACAGTAGTGTATATTGTGTTGCTACGCAATTGTCCCCAATTGGAGGAGGTCTCACCTGATGTAGCCGACCTGTGGCCGATGGCTGAGCTGCCACCGGTACGAGGTTTTATCTTGCCAGCCGACATTTCGTGGGTCTTTCCAGAGCAGTTTCACCTCTCCATCCGTATCCCCCGTGTGCCACAGAGCATTACGAAGAAACTCACTGGGGCCAGTACGAGACTTCACCGCCTACGCAAACACAGTTTCAAGTCTTACTTCCCAAAACCTCATATGGACATTAGCGAGCCAATATATTTCCATGAATCAAAGGCAACATTTTCACCTTGAGCTGCAGGCCTGGTTCAGCCATGGCCCTGAAGGGTATCGACTGCCAGTATGTCTGTTCGGTCTGCTTCCACATCACCACATAGAAACTAGATGAATCCTGATAGCCAAAGATGAAGCCGGCGTAGTCGTCGTCAGTCACGGTGTTAACGTGAAATGTTCCCTCGAAGTCCACACCGTTAAACGCTGTGTAACCTGTGGAGAACCGATTTACAGTTTGCATTTGCAAGTCCATTGGGCATCTAGCTTCTGAAATCTGAAACTAGTGGTCGACCGATATATCGGCCGATATTTGGCATTTTTCAAATATCGGCATTGGCCGATAAGTTTTTCTGTTTGGCCGATGCAGCGCCTGAACAACACACAGTGCTCACATTCTCCCGCTTGTTCGCTGTCATCGTTAACAGTTCTGTCCACTAATAATCAGATAGAACTGTTAAACAAAAGAATTAAAATGTATACAAAAAAGTATTATAAATATTGCTTTTATATTGTTAGTTTACAAACATTATAATACTTTCTCGTTTGCCGTCAGCATTCAGCAAATACGCATTTATATCATTTAAACAAATCTTTGAATGACTAATGAACATCTAATTTCACAAACCTTGCAAGCTTAGTCGAATCCAGCTGTGAGATCTTATGAAGTGTAAGATATCGCATCGGCTGTCAAAAAAACAATATCGGTCAACCACTATCTGAAACCAAACTCACCCACTGCCAAGCCCGGGTCACTGTTCATGGTTTGAACAATCTCCATACCCTGAAACACAAATATATCTGTATTAATTCATTCTTTATTGCCACCTAGAAAAGTACAGAAAATTACAGACTTCATCTTTAAATTATATGCATGACATCATTCATAACCAGTTCTAGCTGAGACCCATTTCTATGTACTGCAAAAGTAAAGTAATACGTCTTTAAATTTAAAATTGACAAACTATAAATCATTAGAAAGGACAAAGTCTTGAATTCAATTTTTGACCTTTGTTATAAATATCTGATAGTGACAATACAGTATATACAGGAGGTATGCAAAATCAAAAATCAAGTCCATGCCTTTAATATATCTTTAAATATGAGCCTTTTATGCATCCACTGAGAAAAAACAAGCTCTAATATTCGTATTCAGATTCTAAAATGTTTACTTCAAATTTCTTTAGAGAGGAGTATTATTTATTTAGTATGCTTTTATGCAAAATTGAGTGATTTGAACAATATGGAGGGCTAAAAACTCATATAATGTATGTTTCATTCACACTTGAAGCCAGAAGGCACCCAAACATCAGTTTATTGTTTATAAGTAAAATTTAAATCTCTGGAATAGAAGTGGTGCAACATGATGAACCTGTGTCAATGAGAGCAGCAGGAATCCCATGATGCTTTACCTGATTGAGCACCACCCAGTTCGGGTCGATCTGAGCGTCACCCTCTGGGTCCAGAATGACTGTCTGATAGGCTCTGAAATCTGTAAGATATCGGCATCGGCTGTCAAAAAAACAATATCGGTCAACCACTATCTGAAACCAAACTCACCCACTGCCAAGCCCGGGTCACTGTTCATGGTTTGAACAATCTCCATACCCTGAAACACAAATATATCTGTATTAATTCATTCTTTATTGCCACCTAGAAAAGTACAGAAAATTACAGACTATCTTTAAATTATATGCATGACATCATTCATAACCAGTTCTAGCTGAGACCCATTTCTATGTACTGCATAAGTAAAGTAATACGTCTTTAAATTTAAATTTGACAAACTATAAATCATTAGAAAGGACAAAGTCTTGAATTCAATTTTTGACCTGTTTTGTTATAAATATCTGATAGTGACAATATATACAGGAGGTATGCAAAATCAAAAATCAAGTCCTTGCCTTTAATATATCTTTAAATATGAGCCTTTTATGCATCCACTGAGAAAAAACAAGCTCTAATATTCGTATTCAGATTCTAAAATGTTTACTTCAAATTTCTTTAGAGAGGAGTATTATTTATTTAGTATGCTTTTATGCAAAATTGAGTGATTTGAACAATATGGAGGGCTAAAAACTCATATAATGTATGTTTCATTCACACTTGAAGCCAGAAGGCACCCAAACATCAGTTTATTGTTTATAAGTAAAATTTAAATCTCTGGAATAGAAGTGGTGCAACATGATGAACCTGTGTCAATGAGAGCAGCAGGAATCCCATGATGCTTTACCTGATTGAGCACCACCCAGTTCGGGTCGATCTGAGCGTCACCCTCTGGGTCCAGAATGACTGTCTGATAGGCTCTGAAATCTGTAAGTGTGACTTCAGCACTTTCTGGACACACGTCAATCGAATCCATCACCGCATCATTGTCAAAGTCATTCTCACATACGTCACCGACTCCGTTACCTAACAGACAATAAAGAAAGTAAAAATGCGAGTCATTAATCAGAAGGATTATTCACCATCAGTGAATATGAATGCTCTTACTGTCTGAGTCTTTCTGGTTGGGGTTGGAAATGAGTCTGCAGTTATCGGGTCCGATGCCGTTGATGGCGTGATTGTCTGGGACCCCATCATTATCGTCGTCATCATCACAGTCATCTCCGATGCCGTCATTGTCCGAGTCGAGCTGAGAGCTGTTTGGAATGTCGGGACAGTTATCTCGAGTGTCCTGGTGTCCGTCTCCATCCCTGCAAACACACAACATTAAACACTATGAGCTGAAATATGTGTCTGAGCTGAAAATAAACTATATGAGCTACTATCACACACTAGAGGGCAGCAGTGTTACCATATCCAGGTTAACGGGTCAATGAATAATCTACCAATTGTGTGATTTATATGTTTGAATTTACATTTGAGTTGTGTTCACTCACGTGTCTTGATTGGTGTCGCAAACATCCCCGACTAAGTCATTGTCTACATCTGTCTGCAATAGAAATAATTACGTTTATTATTTATACGATTAATGATATAAAAGTACATATAAAAGACTGCAAAAGCTAGCTGTTTTTCAGTTACTCAAATTATTTGTTAAAGGCATAGTTCCCTTTAACAAACAGTTAACAAAAGTTTTGTTATTATCATTAACTAAAATTAAAACTATTATACTTGAAATAAAGTTGAAATAAAATAAAATACAAGTATTAACAAAAAATTATCAAATTTGCCTTGGCAACTAATCAAAATGAGTGTAAGTTCAAGCACTAAAATTACTAACTGGAAATAAATAAAAACAAATTAAACCTAAAAAGTAATATTTAAAGTCTTCTGAAACCACATGATAGCTTTGTATAAGGAACAGACCAAAATTGGGAGGGGGAGTCAAATATGGCCTTCTTTTGTCGTCCACAAAAGAAAGAAAGAAAGAAACAAACAAACACAGGTTTGGAATGACATTAGGAGTTCGCCCAAAAATGATAATTGTGTCTTTGAGACTCCATCAATGTACAAAGTATAAAGTTTAATATAAACTAAGATGTAATTCAGTACCTGCATGGGGTTGCTGATCTCAGGACAGCTGTCACATGCATCACCCACTCCGTCTCTGTCTCGGTCTGTCTGCATTGGGTTTGGCACTTTGGGACAGTTATCCAGCACGTTCTGGATTCCTGCAAAACATCCACACACATCACATTCTCAAAGGATGATGTTGCAGGGACACAAAGCAGATCAATTCATCAATCTGAACAGTCTTTACCATCTCCATCGATGTCATCATCGCATGCATCTCCCTCTCCGTTATTGTCAGTGTCTTTCTGGTCAATGTTGGGAACGGTGGGACAGTTATCACATGCGTCACCAAATGAATCAGTGTCAGAGTTCTGCTGATCTTTATTGGAAACCAACCGACAGTTATCCTGAAAAAAAAACAAGAAAAAAAAATCATTTCTATAGTATTTTAGTATTTATTAATATTTTGAATTAGCTTTTAATTTTTATGTTTTAAAATTTCATTTTAATTTGAGTAATTTTGTTCTGTGCTTTTGTAATTTTATTAATTCTTTTCAGATTTCTATATTGCTTCAAATAATTTTCAGTTTTTTGTTTGTTGTTATTTTAGTACACATTCCCAGACAACATTTCTCCTTTTCATTTAAGTTTTGAAGTTTAACGTCTCTAGCTAACATTTATATTTCATTTTATTTCAAATAACGAAAATGATTTTGAATAGTTTTAGTTAACAATGATAACAATGTGGGCCACAAACTCACCTCTACATTTTTTATTCCGTCTCCATCTGCATCCTCATCACACTGGTCTCCAATCCCATCATTATCTGCATCTTCCTGACCGGAGTTGGGCGTGAAGATGCAGTTGTCCTGAAAAACACAGAATATGAATATCCCTAGTGCAACACTTGAAGCAATTGCATAAGAGCATAAAGAGCATAAAATCCTGTGTTCAGACTTGGGAAAAGTTGACTGCAAGCTGTGGTGAATCTATCATATAAAAGTCCAAGCAAATGCAAAAACAAACTTGGTCTATGTAAACACATTACCTAATCTAGGATGAAAAGCTTAATTTCCATGAAAGGTACAAGATGTACGAGCAATCGTACATGAACTGGAAAGAATCAAGTCTATAAACCATCAGAATAAATAGAACAATATGGTCACATCAAAGAGTCACATCAATTCAGTGAATGTTTATACAGCATCAGTGTGTGCAGGGAGAAGGATGGTGGGTTAAAAGATTGTGAGTTTCAGACCTGTTTGCAGTGCTTGTCATTGTCCATGCATGGCAAGGAGCGATCCGGATAACCATCAATATCCGTGTCCTTCCCACATGTGTGACCATTACCGGCCCATCCGACATTACACTAAGAGAATCATACAGAAATTTACCAGAAAACTTGAGAACGATGTAAAAAAGATATGATATGATATATGTAAATCTGATTTCTTTTTTGTCCTAAGCCTTGATAAGTTATGAGTGACAGGTACTGGTCACTGAGGAGACATACAGCGCAGGTGACGTCGCCGTTCCGCTGAATGACGCAGTAAGCGTTAGTGTCACAGGGGTTGAAACTGAGCATAGCGCACGATTTCCGAGGGAAACATCCAGTTGTCTGATTCCCAACATATCCAAACTTGCACTGACCGCATTGATATGATCCCTAAGAGAAGGGAGAAGTAGTTCAAAAACGTTAACATATACACTTTGTATGATTTCAGAGAAAAAGTACTGGACTCACAATGGTGTTGATGCAGATGGAGTTGGGTGTGCAGGCACTGGCCAAATCAAGACATTCATCAATATCAGAGCATTCCTGAAACAAATTCATAAGAAAAAGATATTGATTGCTATTTGTTTTGCCATTTTTCTATCTAATGGAAAGGCATTTTTAAGTGTCTTAATACTTTTTGGGGCCACTGTACCTGGTGGTGACCCTTAGCATATTCCACACTGACATTCAAATTTTGAATGACATATTTCTCCAAAATTCCCTATTTCACCTTTATTTTAAAAGTTTTGCCATTTTTTTGATACTCCAGCTGCTTTCATCTGTTCAAATATATGGCTAAAATGATTAATTATAGACACTAGCATTCAAAATTAACCTTTCAAATGCATTTTTGTAAGAACAACAAAGGATTTTTTTCATTTTGTTCATTTTATAACAACTTTAATTGTATTACATTCATGAAACATGACAGTAAAAACATTTAAATACTACTGTTTTTACTGTATCTCTGATCAAATAAATGCAGAGTACCTGACGTTGACTCTTAGCATATTCCACACCGAATCCAGAGAGAGGAGGACCCCACAGTCCAGGTGGGCAGGGCTCACAGGTAAACCCTTTTGCTGTGTTGACACATGCGCCTGGTGTGTAACACGGCTGAGCCTCTGCACACTGATGGGGAGAGACATGCTAATACACTCATGAATACAAAACAAAGGCATGTTTATTCAAGAGTCTTTGGAACATGGACATAAACAGTTACAGTGGTTTCTGGACCAAGACTTATCAGTATACGAAGATAAAACCAGCGCTAAATGCCCTCACCTACCTCATCTATATCCTGACAGTGTGTGCCGTTCCCTGTCATGCCCTCTGGACAGGGGCCACAGCGGTACCCTGGGAAATCAAACGTCTCCATGCAGGCCACGCCCTTAAAGCAGGGGTTGGGCTGACAGAGTGAATGCGGCTCATGAAATCCTTCAAAATAAAGAGACATATTATCATAAAAAGTCAATAACAATCAATAAGCTCAAGGAATCTAATATCATACAAATTATACATACACAAAAGAATCTAAAGCACTCTGTCTGGATATATTCGTAATGGAATACTAGAATATTGCTTCCCGCATACATAGTGTACACTGCACACTGCCTACTATGAAAAAGTACTATTTGAAACAGAATTATGCAGAGATAAACATTTCAAACATTGTCACAAGACCTCATTATTGAATTTCTAACTCAGTTTTAAGTAAAAGTGTCTTTTGACCAAAAGATGTGTTAAATAAAAAATATTTAATATCATGGAATGAAAGTCCAGTTGCATTGGATTATGGGATACATTATATAGAGTGTGCTGTGTTAAATACTGGAAGGTTTGTGGAGAGGCTTTCAGTTTGCATGGAAAAAATTGGAGACAATTTTCAAATTTGTTTTAAATTAATAATACATATTTCACCTTCATTCTAAACTGATAAATATGCAGGCAAATAAGTAATTACATACTACCATTGAGAAGTTTGGGGTCAGCATCATTTTTTTGTTAAAGAAATTAAAATTAAGCAAAGATGCATTAAATTGATCAAAGGACCTTTAACAAAACAAAAAAATCTCTATTTCCAAAGAAATGCTGTTGAATTTTCAATTAATCATACAAACCTGACAAAATGACAAAAAAAAAATCACAGCGTTGACAAAAACATTAAACAGCACAACAATTTTCAACAGGACGACGATGATAATGATGATGATAATGATAAGAAATGTTTCTTGAGCAGCAAATCAGCATGTTAGAATGATTTCTGAAGGATGAAACTGTGACACTGACTGGAGAAATTATGCTGAAAATTCAGCTTTGCCATCACAGAAATAAATTGCATTTTAAAATAGAAAATGGTTATTTTTAATATCTAATATTTCACAATATTGCTATTTTTTTACTGTATTTTTTATCAAATAAATACAGCCTTGTTAAGCATAACAGACTTCTTTTTAAAAAAAAAATCTTGCCAGCCACAGACTTTTGAATGATCACTCACTCACTGATCACATGTAATAAACAGTTTGTATAAAAATAGTATAAATCTATTAATGTCAGGAATCCTTTGGTATGTACAAAGGCATGACAAACAACTAGTTTGGTTATCACTCTTTTTTTAACCCAACTGCACTACAAATAGGACTGAAAATTGTTTTTTGTTGCTTTGTCAGGTTGGTATTATAGTTTGATGTTGCTACTCACCACACATCTGGCACTCCAGAATAGCATTCCTGATGAGAGACATTTCTTTCACCTAAATAGTGCAAAAACACATAAATCAAACATGCTCAGAAGTAGATTCCCTCACATATATACACTAACTCACTCACACCTGTTCTCTGATGTCCTCTCTCAGCTCTCCCAAGATCTGATTTCATATTATCAAGGTCATATTATGTTGGTCTCACCTGCATCCGAGTGTATGCCTTGTGGCCATTACGAATCTCCACCAGCTCTGCATCTCTGGGCAGAGAGACTAATAGGGGCAGCCGCTGGGCAGAGTCAGCCAGACGACAGTTCACATAGAGTTCGAGGCTCAGGTACTCTCTGCGCAAGCCACCGACACGGAGTATAACAGACTGAGACTGTCCGTCTGCTAGATTTGGGCTCTGCAGATTGACTGTGTGCAGCTTCCCATCTTCACGAACATACCGGACCAGAACTACAGTAAAACAAACCTTTTAGTGATGTTCTGAGCAGACACCACATCCGCAACCCATTTATCTCTGTGATGTGATGTATTTATAAGTGAAACAGAATATTTGATGAGAAAAAAAATGTAGGGCGGGACTTGATTTTATTCATCAGAAAATGATTGGATGGTTAAAATGGAGCCAAATCTGAATGTACGTATGTTGAAACAATAAGCAACAAGCTGTTGGATGTTGGTCAACAATATGAAACAGCCAACGCAGTGATGCCAATGGAATAGAAAAGCTGTTTCAGAGAAAAAGCAAGAACAAAACAAATGGTCATTACTTTTGTTAATCTTGCTCATGATGGCAACCTCCAGGTATTTCTTGTTATCCTGCTTGTTGTAGAGACCCAGCAGGACTCCACCCAGTTTAGGAGGCAGACGGAAGGAAGACATCACATACACATCACTGAGAGTCTTCAGAGCTAATGAGATCTTCTCCACCGCAGCCACGGTCTGCTTCACATCCTCCAAACTCAACACGTCTATCACTAACAGAGAGAAACAGAGACAGCTAGAAATAAAGGAACAGTAAATGAATATTGTCATCTTGTTCCAAATGCATATGCTGATATTCTCCCAAGAATGGAGAATTTCTGCAGAATACTTTACTCATTTTTTTGTACAATGACAGTTTATAGTGACCACAGCTTTCAAACTCTAATAAGATATCAAATGAAAAGCAATAAAAGCACCAATGTAAAGTCCAACAATCTTTTTTTTTTTTTTTTTTAAATAATGACCAATATCTTAGCAAACCTTTTAGAATTTATGCACATCTTTTCTAACACATCATTTCTATTATGTATCATTATTCTAGTTACCATCTGATGTAATCCATTGCATTTATTTTTAATTATTCTTAATAACTCTCATAAGTCCGTCTTGTTCATTATTTGGCTGGTTAAATAAAAATGAAACAATTAAAATTTGTAAAATTGATCAAAAGTCGGGGAGTTGAACTGGAGAACTGGATCAGATCTATTTGTGAATTAATCCTTCAGACTAGGTTTGTTAAATGGGTGAATTGACCCATTGAAAAAAAAACTGACTTGAAAAAAACAGCATGAGAGTGAGTAAATGAGGAATTTACTATAGCCTAGCTATTACAGTCAATCTCATCATGTCCACTGACTCTTCATCTATCAGAGCTTTTATGAAACTGGACGAGGTATGTTTCTCAAACTTTCTCAAAACAGAGCGAATACAAACTAAAGACAGCAAAAAGAGTGAATGCGAATTGAAAACATAGAAATTATAACTCTCAAATATATCTGCCAATATATAGGAAAGATCAAGTTTATTAACTGATAACTACCCGAGAGAGGCCAGTGTAACTAATTATGAAAGTTTAAAAAAATCGGAATAATTACCCGGTACGTCTTGTTTCTGTGCGCACGCTGCGAGCCAGACGAACGTAAACACGAAGAGACTGACCCAAACTTTCATGTTTACAAATAATACACGCAGAAGTGATAAAGAAAATATCCAGAACAGATTCGTCGGCGATGCATTGAAACACGAAATTTTTCCACTGGAACAAACCTGCGCTGTGCAGGAGAGAGAGAGAGAGAGAGAGAGAGAGAGAGAGAGAGAGCCCCTTAAATTATGAAAATAGAAATCAATAAGCAGTATGTATTTACATCCCATTTCAGTTAGTGAAAAAAAAGAGAAGAACTGCTGTTCAGTCTGTAGTTTGATTTCTATCTGTAGAACCCCATCCTTATCCATAACAGATCAAATTACTCGTGTATGAATGAATACACACATATCAACACATATCAGTGAACTACTGTAGTTTTGAAGCTTTATGGTGTGAAACAAAGATATTTAGGCAAAATACAAACATTAAGTAACAATACCCAAAACAACCATCTTCAACAATCCATTGTTTCTCTTTCAAAGAGTTTAATATAGAGAGAAATATTAACTTGTGTAGTTTAATTTAGCCTTACAGAAATCCTTATGAAAAAGTTACAGGAACTGAAACATCTTAACCCTTTTTTGTGGTCTGTCAGCAAGATTCCTTTGGACATTAACTTTTGGTTTTAATAATCTGTTACAGTCTCCTACAAAAAGTGCAATTTCTAATCCTCAATAATGTAAGAAAGTTTCTCTCTTTATCCTTTGCAGTAAGGTGAAAATGTCACTTTCAAAGGGTTTGGTTATCCAAAAATGTAAATTCTGTCATCTTTAACTCACCCTTGTGTGATTGTCACAAAAAGACATATTTTCAATCATGTTTAAGACTATGTTTTCTATACAATGTGCCATAATACTGTTTTGGATCATTCTGGCACAATATTCAAATGTGTAATACACAAATTAGTGATGCCAAATGCTATTGGTTCTCACGTCATGTGATCAAGCATGCTGATCCAAATTTGAATAAGATCCAATACCCAAGAGGGATATTTTTAGTGAATAATTCTATAAATTATGGAGAGTTTCTTACATAAACCAAACTATTGCATGGTTGCAGAATACTTCGAAAACAGCACACAAGTTGTTTGAACTACTTTTTCTCCTTTTGGAGCACAAAATCTGCACAATTGTGAGGAAATCAATGTCGACATTTTGCAAAATATGTCCTTTTTTATTTCACATAAGAAACTAAGGTGGAATGAGACATGGAGCATAAATGATTTGGTTTTGGTGATCTATGCCTTTAAGAGTCTAACTTTCCTATTTCACTCAATAGGATCACATTAACATGAGATAATCTCACAGCAGACCAGTACTGACAGCAGAGCAGAAAAGATGATTTATGCAGGTAGCAAATAAAATGTGCATTAAAACAAGAAAAACGCTGAGCTTCAAAACAAACAAGGCAATAGCACATAAGAGATGTAAATCTCTCAATCTCATTATCATAAAGCTATCAAAAGGGTTTAAACCCCTCTGTAATAAAGCAGTTGGTCGACACAATGAAATAAATTTTCAGTGCTTTCTCACCTAAACTTAGCTTAACATTAGTAGCTATAAAGAGATCTGATTTTTATTATTTCAGTAAAAAAGAAAACACAGGTGAATATACCCAGTCAAGAGATTAAAGCAACAAGTGCAGCTCTATGGAAAAAAATAAAGTCGTCTAACAAAGATATAAAACCAAAGATTATCACGCAATTAAAACTCAAGTCAAGGAATAAGTAATACATAAATCCCCAACAATATGTTGTTCCTGTGTGTTGCTCCACCAAGTAGACGTGACCATCCCAGTGCAACTAAAAAGTCCTACTTTCATTCATCCTCATTCACTCCTCCTCTTCTTCCTCATGGGAGGGGCCTCTGAGTGAGGCGGAGCCTACATGCTCCTCCTCCTGCACATGCTCAATAGCTACTATGCCCGTGAGGAGAGCATAGCTCAACATCGCTGCCACGGCGACCAGCACTGACAGCAGCTGCTTGCGTCTCTTGTATGGCTCGTTGTCAAAGTCGCTCCCCTGCTGTGTGCTGGACATCGGACGATTGACGCCCTCTGCAAACAGAACAGACACGAACATTAGGACTCAATGACTCTTATTCTACAGAAAGAAGAATGGACTTTTTGTTCTTTGCAAACACTTTATTGTGGTTATTGGTCACCTTTACTCTCGCTGGGGAAGTACAAGCTCAAGATGTTGCAGCAAAATGTGTTCAAGTTGTCCAGATTCTTCAAGTTCTGCTGCAGTCGGCAGTTAGGCAGCCGGATCTTAATAAGCGGAGCTAGATGACCAAACACATACGCATCTAGAGAAGAGGGCCTTTAACACACATACAAAAAACATCAAATGTATAGAAAAATTTATAGAAAATGTATGTACTAAACCTAACCCATAATCAACTGAGCGTAAAGCTCAAAGATCAACCTTGATGTGTAAAACACTTACGAATCTCCAAAGAAAAATTTGTTCGATCCCAGACGCTGAGAAAGAAGATTCAAGCACTCCAGAGCATCATGGTAAAGCTGGAGGGAAAGGTGGAGAGAGTTACAGAGAATAGAGACTGAGAGGATGTAGAAGAAACAACTTGCCTAGATTACAGATTCGTATGTCCTCTTTTCATCTATTCATGTTATTGTTGGAATCACTATCAGAATTTTTTTTTTTTTTACAGCTGATGAACGATAAAAACATTGACAGCCAATCAGAATCCACCTTTAAAGAGCTTGAGTGCAGACATAGCTGCAGTATGGGCTAATAATAAACAGAATGCACTGGTGTGTGGACGCTAATATACGTTTCTTTCTTGGTGTGAATGTGCTAGTAAAGAGATAGTCCACTCAAAAATGAGAACTGTCATCATTTTCTTCCCCTCATGTCTTTCCAAACCTGTATGACTTTCTTTGTTCTGCAGAACACAAAAGAAGATATTTTGAAGAATGCTGGTAACCAAACAGTTTGGTTCCCAGCATTCTTCAAAATATCTTCTTTCATTGTCTGTAGAAAAAAAGAGTCATACAGGTTTGGAAAGACACAAGGCGGAGAAAATGATGACAGAATGTTAATTTTTTTGTTGGACTAGTCCTTTAACACTGCATTAAAAGTAAACTTTGTTTATTATCCCAAGCAAATTCATCGTAAATATAACATTCAATATATTGCTCAGTCACAGGGAGCATAACCCCAGCATGCACATTGTGATTCACAGTGTCATAAATAAGAAGAGTTGTTTCCTAACATCAGACTAGCAACTATCTAGCATAGAATTCTCTGCCAGAACGGAACTTCTGCTCTATTTGAGCCCAGATTCCACACATCTGCTGGTTTATCAGTGTCCTCTTCAGGGACCAGAACACTATTGCCTCTGGCTAGAGTCTAACAGCCGCCCTGGTGTCTCAAGGAGGTGTTATTGTCACAACAAAGACAGCCCACTCACCATCTGATGCATATCGCACAGCAAAAACAAACACTATCAAGCACATTATCCACAATTCCACCAACCTCCTCCTCTGCCTCTTCTCCCGCCTCCAGTGAACTGTTTCCCCGGATCAGGCGGAGTCGCTCAAGCTGCCTGTTTTGCATGCGGCCCGGCAGGAAGAAGTTGAGTGGGAAGGACATATTCTCCCCATGCCAGCGGCGCGTCACCTCCACGTAGTTCTTAGGATCGATCCATAAAGCATAGATCTGCCGGGAGACATGAGAGTTCGAGCTAGTACCCATCAAAACTTTCCTCTTCGAGGTTCAGGATTTGAATCTCACCAGTGCAGGTAACAGTCGCTCCTCCAGTAATGAGATGAAGGCCAGAGTGTCTGCACCCTCCTTGGCCGAGAGATCATAGTCGGCATTGTATTTCTGAAACACAAATTTCCAGTATTACTATTACGTCTGCTATTGTTCAGGAAAAACAGGTACAGGACAACCTTCCCAAAGTCACTGGCAGAGCCAGTGTTTACAACTGATGAATGGCTTATTTATATGGTGCTGCTGGGATTTTGTAGGCCAACTTGGAAGTTAGCATTACCAAAGACTCAGCCTCAGATGCCAAGCCCATGGACCACTGGCATCTGATGCACAAGGCACACAAAAAGGTAAACACTTTGGGAGTTTCGAAGTTGTCATCTGATTGGTTGAATTCTACAGGATTTCTGTGAGATGTGTCGCATTCTTTTGCATTCCACCTGGAACCAAAGGCATTGTGATGTTAAACCCCTTCATGGAAGAGGCAGTCATGTTTACAACTGTGACAATGAGCACTTATCAGGATCAACTTAACACTGGACTTTGACAAGTATGTGAAGTTCAAGGCGTAGACTCTTTAAAGATGGGCAAGAGCTTTGCTTGAGGCACTTAATGGAAACAAAAAGATTGCTTGCCGATCTGCTATTGTAGGGACATTGACTACATTTTCACAGCCCTAAACATGACACTGAACAAAACAAACTGTGATTGGTTGTTTTACATGTCTCAGACGGCCTTTTCGGTGGTCCTTTACCAATTAAAATTACAATGGAGTCCAGACCTTCTGCCATCAGTCTGAAGATCTGGCTACGCCAATAAGATTTTTTCATCGGCTTTTTGATTATTGCAGAAAGTAAGCTCTGTGACCAACAAAAGTTTATGATTCCCACAAATTTTGTTCATCAAGAAAATCTTTGCTAATAAAAGTTTTATGAATTTTGAAGCCTGAATGCATAAGGCAGAAGCAAAAAGGTAAAGTTTGGCTATAAACAAACTACACTACAGTCGCTTTTGACAAATCTTTTAATCTTTATTTAAAATCTACAAGTGGGAGAGTCTGAGTTAGAATAGTTTGCAACTTTTTCTTTTTCTGACAAACTCTGAATTCTCATTTAGCTACTTTTCAGCAAGAGCCATTTTTCAAGACACGTAAAAGCTTAAAAACATTTTTTTTTATGTCGTACAATAAAATGTGAAAATATCTTGAGCTTGTGTTAACCACAGAGGTTATTCCAGGCATTTAACCAAAAACCTATTCAAAAAACCCACTGACTTTGGGACTATGGAACCAGAAGTTCAAAAATGCTAACTTACTTACTTAACTTACTTGCAGCACTCTATAGGAGAAAGTATTTTAGCCTCCAAAAAGCTGTGTAGTGTTTTGTGAATAAAGCTGCAAGCACTGACCTGATCTGTATATGCTCTTGACTCTGTAAATGGCTCTGGGTAGAACAGCACTACTACTGGTAGAAACTATAAACGTGTTTCTAG